ACCACCGTTGTCACAATCAAACAGATCATCATAAGACGGCGACGTTAGACCTGAAATCATAATTTTTTGAATCTGACCTATGGCATAAATACAGTACGTGATTGTTTGTTTTTACATCATCACAAGAGGCGTTTCAATGAATTCAATCTTCTACATTAAAAGAAACAATGCTTTAGCTAGGAATTCGTAGTAGTTGATCAATGTTTTCGTGATTATCACGTTCAGCGCTATGAACTTGCTGTATCATGTGATGCATGCAAGGGATTGAGATCATCTTATCGTTGCACTCACCCGAAAAACGCGGATAATACGTTGCCGTATCTGGCAAATCACCGGTATTTGCTTCGTCTTTTTGTTTACGATACGAAAATAATGGTCCGCCACCATTTGATGTGTTCGCACTGAAAGTTTATCAGTTTTACAATCGATTCCACACGTTCAATGCATAATCTGGTCAATTGTTGAGGCTCGGGAAATTAAAAGATTGAAACGTTGGAAATAAACGAGAGGCGACATTTTTAAATGAAATGAATAAATTTCCTTTCAGAAACGAATACGAATAATGCGAGTAAAAATTTGTTGGCAATGTATAGGGAAGAATACAAAACAAACTTAAACTACGACATTTCATGACAGATAAAGTGAAAATAAAATGTGACACAAAAACGCAGCGTATTAAAATGAAAATGTTTCGCAATTACCGAAAAAAATTACTCACTTTAGTGAACGTCTCAAGAAGACGAAGTAAACAAGTGGCGTATAGAGCGTAAAATACAGAAATGTCGTTAAATCAACGATACTGAAAAGGAAGTAAATCATCACTTTGAAAACGACAGATTACTTCTTTATTTAGATTTACTTTACTTTCAAACTTTTTTTGTTTCTCGGAAGTAAAAATTTCTCGCTTAACTTTACATTCAGAAAATTTACTTTCAAAAAGCAATATTTTATACATAAATTCTTTGGATTCATTCAGTTCTATTAAACTTGATATTGCAGGTGTCGCTTTTACATTCAAAAAATCGGTCGTTCGGCAGAATGCGACAAGAACGCTTATTAAATAAAACGAAAGTTAAACTTTAAGTTAAACCAATCACAAAAATATCCATGATA